AAAAAAAAAAAAAGATTTATTGCTAGACTTACTTTAAGACTGCAGCAATTCAGATCAGATGCTCTGGCAAGACATTTGCCCAGCAGCAGCACCTCCACCAATAAACTGCCAACGCTGGTGTTTGTTTTCAGTCTCCAGAACCATTGAGCTTTGTTGCCAAGCGGCTTACCTGGAACTTATATTTCTTTTTTCCAGTAGAAGTTTACTTCTTTCCTTCTCCGGGTGCACCTGTGGCATGTCTTAACTTGACATCGTGGATTATAATTCTTTTTGCTCACTCCTGAATAAAATCATTATCTTTAGAGACATCTTTCTCTGTTGTCTTTTTAGCTTGACAGAACCAAATATTTTAGGTTGCATGGACCATTCTAACTTGGTTACAGCTACTCACCTTATAGCTTAAAATCAGACATAGTCAGTAGGAATGGGCAGGGTTGTGTTCCAATTAAACTTTATTTTAGACACTGCGGTTTGAGTTTGATCTACTTCTCACTGTTCATGAAATATTCATCTTTTGATATTTTTAAGTGATTTAAAAATTCAAAAACTGGATGGGCATGGTGGCTCATGCTTGTAATCGTAGCACTCTGGGACGCTGAGGTAGGTGAATTGCTTGAGCTCAGGAGTTTGAGACCAGCCTGAACAAAAGCAGGACCCTGTCTCTACTAAAAAAAATGGAAAAACTAGTTGGGTATTATGGCAAGCTGGCACCTGTAGTCCCAGCTACTTGGAAGGCACAGCCAAGAGGATTGCTCGAGCCCAGGAGTTTGAGGTTGCTCTGAACTATGATGTCTCCACAGCACTCTAGCTTAAGGCAATAGAGTGAAACTCTGTCTCATAAATAAATAATAAAGAAATATAAAAAACCATCCTTAGATTGCAAGCTGTACAAAAACAGGTAGTGGGCCGTTTGCCTATTTACTTTCCTCTGATCTAGAAAGCTAAAATGGGACCTGATGGCCTGTTATGTTAGACAGTTCAGGCTTTGTCAGGGGACATTGAGCAGAGTCACTGATGGGTTTATGCAAGGACAATTTATATACCAGGAAAGATGAGTTTTAGATGACTTTAGCTATTATATGGTGAATGAATTGGAGAGTTCACAGGTGGAGGCTGGAGACTTGGCTGGAGGAATCTTTTGGCAACAGCTGAAACTAATGTAATAGCAGTGGGATGAACAGATTCAATGGAAGTAGATTGATAGGATTTAGAGATTGACTGGGATGAGAATGGGGAAGAATGGGGAGGAAGGAAAGTGAAGAGTCGAGTTTAATTGCTAGGCTTTAGGTTTGGGGAATTGAGTGGTGCCTAGTAGTGTCACTTATTGAAATAAGAGGATTAGAGTTGGTTGGGTTGGGTTTGGTTTGGTTTTGTAAAGGGGAGATTATTAAAGATTTTGGACATGTGCATTTTGAGGTGTCTATGGGAAATATAGGCTTGGAACTATAGTTCCAGAAATGGTGGTGGTTTGCTTTTTTTTTTTTTTTTAGACGGAGCCTCAAGCTATCCCCCTGGGTAGAGTGCCATGGCATCACAGCTCACAGCAACCTCCAACTCCTGGGCTCAAGCGAGTCTCCTGCCTCAGCCTCCCAAGTAGCTGGGACTACAGGTTCCTGCCCCAACACCCGGCCATTTTTTGGTTGCAGCCATCATTGTTGTTTGGTGGGCCCGGGCTGGGGATTCGAACCCGCCACTTTAGGTGTATGTGGCTGGTGGTGCCTTAGCCACTTGAGCCACAGGTGCCAAGCTGTGGTTTGCTTTTAAAGCAGACATTAAATAGCAGCGATAGGACTGTACATGCATTTACTCAAGACTACAGTAATTTTTTAAAGGAACACTCGGCTGTTTTGGGAGCCAATTATACCTTGAGAGGCCATGGAAGAACGTGACAGAGCATAGGGCTGGACTTCAAGGTCCTTGCTATCCATTGAGTGCTGTATAGCTCTCCGTCTAGATCTTCCCATGGAGCACTTGATTCTTCAGGACTAGGAAAGTTCAGGTTACTGCCCCAGTCGTATGAAGTGTTTGGGTTCTTACACGGTTCCAGATAGTCAAAGAAGTTCCCACAATTGCTTCTTTTCTTTTCTTTAAAAAATTACTAACTATGGAGGCCAAGCACAGTGGCTTGCACCTGTAATCCTAGCACTCTGGGAAGTGGAGGTGGGTAGATTGCCTGAGGTCATGAGTTTGAGACCAGCCTGAGCAAGAGCAAGACCCCTTCTCTAAAAAAATAACCAGGTGTGGTGGTGGGTGCCTGTAGTCCCAGCTACTTGGAAGGCTGAGGCAAGAGAATCTCTTGAGCCCAAGAGTTTGAGGTTGCTGTGAGCTCTGATGTCATAGCACTCTACCAAGGGCTACAAAGTAAGACTCCATCTCAAAAAAAAAAAAAAATACTGACTATGAAATAAGGCACGATAACAGAGTCCTATTTCTTTCTAGCCAATTTATTTTAAAGGTCAAAGCTGAATGAACCCTCATGATATCATAATTCTTAGAATTTTCCCAATTACTTCCTACACATTCCAGGGCCTGCAGTATCTCCAAGCCTAGGAATTCCTTATTTGAGGTTTCTTTCCACTGACTAAGATCAATCTGATGTACACTGTGGTTGCTTTGCTATACACTCTTGCTAAAACATTCTTCACTGTTTTATAGCAGTCATGTGATTTAGGAAACTAACTCCAACTTCAAAGGTGGGTCCAGATTAAGGCTAATCAGTGATTAGTACAGTGATTGATTCAGGTACTAGTGGGATTACTAGGCCTAAACCAACCAAGAAATCACGATACCATTGGCCTTTTTTTTTTTTTTT